CCTTGCTCCTAGTAGTAAGGCCAGGAGACACTAGTAGCGTCCTTGCTTCTGTTAGCGATGCCCTTTGTTACTAGTGGCGTCTATGCTCCTAGTAGTGAGGCCAGGAGCCACTAGTAGCGTCCTTGCTCTGAATAGCGATGCCCTTTGTTACTAGTAGCTTCTAGCGTCGTGTCCTTTCATCTGTCCTTTTGTTGAAAACTGAAGAACGTGTTCTCTTCCGGACCTTTAGACCAGTCTTCCTTCCTTCAGGTTTTGTCAATGTGATGGTGTGTTCCCTTTCTTTACACCTTCTTCATTCCTTTCTTTATTGAACCTTCTCTTGTCTTTTCTTCCTGTTTTTTCAAGGCATTTTTAAGACCGCCAAGTGTCATTTGGCAATCGTCTGCTTGGAGTCACTTTAGGCCTTTTGGGCGTGGCTTTGGTGACGGGAGCAACAGGGATCATGGAACACCCAGCAGAAGACGACGCTTCGCCAATGACGGTGAGTGTGTGGAGGACGTTTGTGACCCGCACCCTGTCGCTTTTCCCGCGCTGCGTTAAGTTGAGGGTTTTGCAAGGCCACGTTGGTGCGTCTGCAGTTGAGCCTACCGACCTCTTGCGCGTTAACATCACTGAACATGCTGAGCAGATTTTGCTTGCTGCGCGTTCTACCGATCTTCCAAAGCGAGGTGTCATTCCAATTGCGAACAGTACTTAAAGAGTACCCCCTGCTGTTCGAGGTTCTTGCACGCTTGTGCGAGAGCCAGACACCTAGCCATCTTCACCCAATCCCCTCCTTTTTGGAAGCGGTTGCACCTTTGATGAATTCGACAAGATTATGGCAACCGACCTGCGTGAATAATTTGTAATTAAGTGCACACACAGCTACAGACAGGGCGCCGTTGGCATGCAGAAGGGCCAAAAATTATCCCGGGAAGACACCCCACACAGTGTGTGTGTGGTCTAAAAGCAGAAAGTCTGGAGATCTAAACGCATTGGGGTCCAGAGAGGTGATGGTGGTGATGAAGGTGGGGATCGCGGCGACGGAGGCGGTGAGTGAGTGAGTGTGGGTGAGAGTGAGTGTGAGTGAGGGTGAGAGTGTGAGTGAGAGTGAGAGTGGTGAGAGTGAGAGTGTGAGTGAGAGTGAGAGTGAGTGAGAGTGAGAGTGGTGAGAGTGAGAGTGAGTGTGAGTGAGAGTGAGTGTGGGTGGGAGTGAGTGAGAGTGAGAGTGAGAGTGAGTGTGAGTGAGAGTGAAGGTGGGTGAGTGAGTGTGGGTGAGAGTGAGAGCGAGAGTGAGAGTGAATGAGTGAGAGAGAGAGAGAGAGAGTGAGAGTGAATGACTGAGTGAGAGTGAGTGAGAGTGAAAGTGAGTGTGAGTGAGAGTGAGTGTGGGTGGGAGTGAGTGAGAGTGAGAGTGAGTGTGAGTGAGAGTGAAGGTGAGTGAGTGTGGGCGAGAGTGAGAGTGAGAGCGAGAGTGAGAGTGAATGAGTGAGAGAGAGTGAGAGTGAATGACTGAGTGAGAGTGAGTGAGAGTGAAAGTGAGTATGAGTGAGAGTGAGTGTGGGTGGGAGTGAGTGAGAGTGAGAGTGAGTGTGAGTGAGAGTGAAGGTGGGTGAGTGAGAGTGGGCGAGAGTGAGAGTGAGAGCGAGAGTGAGAGTGAATGAGTGAGAGGGAGTGAGAGTGAATGACTGAGTGAGAGTGAGTGAGAGTGAAAGTGAGTGTGAGTGAAAGTGAGGTGAGTGAGAGTGAGAGTGAGTGTGAGTGTGAGTGTGAATGTGAGTGTGTGTGAAGAGTGAGTGTGAGTGTGAGTGTGAGTGTGAGCGTGTGTGAGTGAGTGAGTGAGTGAGTGAGTGAGTGAGTGAGTGAGTGAGTG